ATCACGAACTACGAAACACATAAAAAAAACGAAGAATGTCAGCAGAGAAACAGCAAACTTTATTATATATAATGAGAGAATCAACTGACCTTATGGGAATGCAAGGTACGTTTCCCCGGTTTAATGTTGACTTTGGAAAATTGTTCCTAAAAAAACCTAATTAAAAAACCCAACCGGTTTTTTAATCCACATGCTGGTGCTGCTGCACAGTAGGGTTTTCATCCTTCAATAATATTAAATGTGGGTTAGGGCAGGCAAGGTGTGGACTCACAAAGGTCAACCCAGCGTGAAACCTGACTTTTGCTCTTTGAAAAAGTCAATAAAATCGATCTTCACTCAGTCCTCATATTTATTTATTATTCCGTTTTGAGACCATCAAATGTGTTCTTTTGTAGATATGTGAAATCGGAATCTTTTGGAGTCTTCTCCCTTTCCAAAGAGAAAGTAGAAGGAGGAGAACATGGTTGACATGACAAACTGGGTTTGACTCGACTGTTATTTCATTCGATTGTGTCTACTTGGTCACCACCTCACCCTCAGTTCGACGCGTTCAATGCCTGATTAATTATTAATAAAAGTTAAAACCGTGATTAAAGCCTTTAACCTTTTCGTTTTCATGGACTAGCTAGAAGTCATTGTGGGCCCGATGCAACAGGGCCCACGAAGAAGTTCAGGCCCACCGAAAGAAGTCAGAAAGGCTTGTTCACGGTGGAGATCTATAATTTAGGCGTGTTTGTTTGTGCATGAAAGGGTTCTGAAACAAGAGGATTATAGTGAGATGGGAATTTTGGTCATAACCATAGAGTATTTTACTATTCAATTCAATTGGGGTGGGTATAAAATTTAAATAGATTGTATATTGGTAGAGTTTGATGGGTTTGTACCCATACCCATTTACTTGTGTTGGGTTGAGTTTTTAACACATGGATTTGGGTTTGTATCTATGTCAAAATACAAATTACAGTTTCATAAACCTAAACTTAATAGATATACATATTTAGTACCTAAAATTAATTTTTTTGCATATAAGTCCTCAAAATATTGATGGAAAATTACATTTTACTACCTAAAATTATTTGGTCTTGGATTTTGGTACCTGAACTTTTCAAGTTTTACAAATAAGTCTAATTTTTGTATGTGTAGTTAAAACACTATCAAATAAATTGATTTGATCAACTCATATTCATTTAGATTATGAAAGCAATATCCATACTTTACCCAAATACATCTACAAAGTCTCAAACTCATATATACCTCATTCATACCCTATCCATAATCAATGGATCTACTTGGGTTTGACCGTTTTTAATTACCCATGGGTTTGTTATTACCATCCCTAGTGCGGTGGTTGGTCGCTCATGGACCATTTCCCAAGAGTTAACTAGTAATATTAGGGCTAGGAAACGGTGCGGTCTGGTCCAGACCAGACCATATATACGGTTTATGGTCCAGACCGAGAGGCTGAAGTATAGACCACATACCAGACCACAAACTATACGGTCGGTCCAGACCACGCCTGTGCGGTCTGGTTCGGTCTGGTCCAGATAGACCACACTCAACGAAAAATGAATAATTTATTTAGTCAACCACACAAAAATTGAACCAATAACCAAGAAAAATAATTGTTATTTGCCTTAACACATTAATCCTAACATGCATGAATAAATTTGATACCCTAAATCTTAGTACATAACAAATATACAAAGTAAAAGCATCCCAACTTGCACCATAACGTCATAAACATTGACATAATGTCATATGAAGACACAATTATCTATACTCTCTGGTTAAATGTGGTTGTGAATAAAGGAGGGACGAGATTCACAAAACTAAGGTTGAGACTTGGGTATCGTTGTGGGAGTTGGGAGAGTGGTCGAATGGGCTGTTAACACGTATTGACAAGTCAATGGGTCCACGGTTTGGTCCGGTAAACCACGGTCTAGACCAGACCAGACCAAGAAATCAAAACATAAAATAATACAGACCATGGACCAGAGCAGACCATACTTAACGGTCTACGGTCCGGACCAAACTTTGCGGTGCGGTTTGGACCACGATTTTTCTAACGAGCTGGTCTATTTTCCCAGCCCTGGGTAATATTGGCTATGTGCTGAAAATCATTTGAGAATGTATGGTTAATTCGATAAAAACCAATATCGTATCTTATTGCGGGATCCACAAATGCCGTTCATAATAATCCTAATACAAATGTGGGAAATTCTTGTGGACACATTTGGTTATTAATAGTAAGATTAACCGAATTGTTTGCCAACGATGGTCGTTTGGAAGTTGCGATTGTGTTGTTGAGATTGTCATTATGCATGTATTGTTTACAATGCATCGTTTTTTTTTTTAACAGAAACAATACATGAATTGTTTCTATGATGTGACAGAAACTATCACTCATTTTGAGTGATTGTTATATCTCAACTTTTAGTTGTGATTGTTGAGATAGTTGAGTTGAGATTGTTTTGTCTCAGCTTTTAGCTGATGCGGCATACACAATCACACATACCAAACGTTATATTCTACAATGCATCAAATTCGACAATATAAGTGAACGATATAAGATTCACGCTTAACACTCTGCTAATAACTCGATTTATTCGTGTGAACTTGTACATTATTGGATCCATCAGAAAGTAAGTCTAAGATTGTGAATGGGAGCCATGGTGGTGGGGTTCTAAATATGCATATAGAAATATGTACATGTGCTGATCGATCACTCCATACTAACACTAATAGGTTGGAAACCAACCAGTTAAAGGAGGGCCAAATCAGGGGAGTCGGGATTTCGAGACCAGAGGGGCTGAAAATAATTAAAAAAAAACTCGAAAATAATTAAAAACAATTATGTAACCAATGTGGATCGAGCACAAAACAACTCGAAAATAATTTTAAAAAATTATGTAACCAATGTGGATCGAGCACAAAACAACTCGAAAATAATTAAAAAAATTTATGTAACCAATGTGGATATTTCGAGACCAGAGGGGCTGAAAATAATTAAAAAAAACTCGAAAATAATTAAAAACAATTATGTAACCAATGTGGATCGAGCACAAAACAACTCGAAAATAATTTTAAAAAATTATGTAACCAATGTGGATCGAGCACAAAACAACTCGAAAATAATTAAAAAAATTTATGTAACCAATGTGGATCGAACACGTGTGCTTTAAGACGTAGGTTAAGCTTAACTACCATTAGACCACATAACTATTACATAATAAAATATACAAAACAAGTTCTACTTATAAAATTTTTACCAAATATTCTTAATGACTTAGGAGCCGAGACCAATCCTGAGGGGCCGGGCCCACCCTAGCTACAATGTAGCTCCGTCCCTGGGCCATATGCAGCGCATAAATGAGAGGAGGCATCCAACACAAGGCCAAAAAAAAGAAAAGCCGAAAATGTCAAAGGGGCTGTGCCTGCTTCTATCATCATCAGCTACCTCTTTTAAGAGAAATAGGCAGTTGGGTTTTTTGTCTCTGTCTGGTGCAGAAAATGGATGGCTTTCATTCCAACCAACCTTTTTTGCTGGCTATCTCTCTTGTCTGTTACTCGAGCTACAAGTTAGTGTGAATGCAACCTGTTATGAGAAGAAGACTGATTGATGAAGAAGGGAGATGGAGATTCCCCAGCCATGCACCAAAAAGTCTTTAGTTATGCAGCAGAAACGCTTATATGGGATGCATTGCATGGTTCAGCACAAAAGCCAACAGAAGCCTGAGCCTAGTGACCACTTTTGGGAAAGCCAATATCCAACATGGAAGCTGCTGCAATCCCCATCCTGACCAATATTATTTTTCCTCGTTGTGGATGAAAGCTTTATCTCGAATAATGATGGGACCTTTTGACTAGTGCCAGGATGCTGATTGCTGAGGGTACGATTAAGGGTTTAAGGGTAGTTTAGTATTTTATTAGGTTTAGTCGATTAGGGTTTCGAGGCAGAGTTTATACAATGTACTTTTAGTTCTATCGTTAGAGATATCAATGAAGTAAAAAAAATATCAAAGTATCCCAGAATTAGCTATCTTTCCTCTAGTCTCTTTCAAGAACACTAATTCCCAATTCTAAATCACTCGATTCTGCCCAATTGTGGGAAACCCGACCGAGGAGGCAGAGTGAGGGTCGGGTTCGGCCAAGGAGGGAAAGGGGGAGGGGAATGGCACAATTGTAATTTAGAATATTTCGGTCTACTACTTAAAACTTACACAACATTAGTTTTGGAGTTAAGCAATAACAATTCAGAAAACCCAATCCCTAGTCTCTCTTCTCTCTCTTGTTCTTCCCCAATTTCCCTAAATCCCTAATTTCTTCTCTTCTCAATCCCTAAATTCCCAATTGGAATTTCTTGTTTCTCAAACCAATTCTCTTCTCCGTCGTCAATCTAAATCTATTTCTAAACTCTGTTGTTACATATATTCGGGTGCCCAGAATCCGTATCTACAACACTAATAGCACCCACTGCACCGGAATTATGTTGGATTGGCCTGCCCTGACTCGTTGCTCGAAAGAACAAATGCATCTTGGGGTGCCATTTGAGATGAGGCAGATAGACTTGAGAATAATTGTTGGAGAAAAAAATTATGGAGGGACTGAAGTTGCTATAAGTTGAGGGTTGATGGGAGCTCCTGAAATGTATTCAGTTGACTCAAAACTGTCTTGACAAGTGACACATGACCTATAAAACCAAAATTTGTAGCTCGCCAACACAGATGATTTTGTTAATAAAAAATGTAAACCGATTAAACTTGGTAATTTGAGGGTCAAATCATGATCGCAAACGTATTTCATAGGATCGATCTGCCTTGCCCCGTGATCATTAAATCAAACTGAGCAACTCAATTTCTGTGGGGGGCGCCAACAAAATCAAGGGAGATTGATCAGTCTTTCTAAAAATGTGGTCGGATTGAAGTTGGTGACGGTTGGTTATGGGTCAATTAGCTAATGAGCACAAGCCAATCGAAGTTTGGTTTGTTTTGACTTGGGATCCAAGTGTTGTACCTTGATTCGTGTAGGGAAACGTACCATTCAAATCTAGGACAGCAGTTTTAACTGCCAAACTGCCAGAGAGTGATAATACGACAGCTTTAAATTGACTTTGGCTTGTGCACGAATAGAGTGCTTGCTGAACCAACACAGATGATGGAGTATGGAGCAGATGATGAGTTACACCCACCTGAGCTCTGTGCCATACATCTGCTCCCAGATCACAAATTCACAACTGCAGTTTTCAGATTCAAACTCCATCCTACTAAGACCGCTTTCATCCCGTCAATCTCCCAAAAGCATTAATTAGCTGCAGACTCTTGTTCAATGCCAAGAGCCCACTCAAACACACCTTACAACTCAGGCGATATCCTTTCAGGCACCAAAACTGCTCCTGAGTAAAGATGGGATGGGGAACAAATGGTAGTAGTAGATGTGGAGAAGACAAACTCATCCGAAAATAATTCCTCACATACCACAAAGAGAAGTCATTTTTCAAAGTCAGACATCATTGGCCTGTCTCAATCTACACTGATAGTCCACAAGTCTTAATGATCCATGGCTCACGTTTCCTTAACCGCGGCAGTGGATTGTCTCAATCTACGCTGATGAACATCCCAATTATACACCCGCGCGACTGTGACCTGGCCAGTTGTATTATTGCATCCATTATCATCAGCCATGGGTTACCTTTTACGATAAATGAGTCCAAACGTTTTATAAGCATATATATACATGCTTACCTGTGTTATTGTGACCTGATCCCTCAGAAACTGCAAATCAGCAATAAGGACTTCTAAACTAGCTTTAGCGTTCTCTAAATTCTTCTGCAGTAGGGCAGTGGCCTGCGAAATAGAATCACGGGGGAAATTTTACAATCATAAACAACCTCTAACCACAAGAAGCCTTAAAAACCAGCCACCGTAAGTACTAACCTCTTCACATGAATACTCCAACATGACATTTGCTCCCAGCCATAAACAAACCAAGTCACTTTCATCAATGGAAGCACGTGAGTAGATGCCTTCGGCAATTTCAAAGTCAGCAATAAGTGCCTGCACCCAGAATATTAAACCGGAAACAGGAAGTTTATCATGTATGCCCCGGGACATTTAAGTTACAGAGGATTACAAAGTCTCTCTTGCCAGAAACACCATTTGCGACTCAAATGTTTGTGTTGAACACAAGGATGCCAAGCTAGCTAGACCTTTCAGTTGTTTTTCTATGACCGAGTACTAGACTACTACATAGCTGAACATGGCTTGACAATCTAGATAGATATAAAACAAATTGAATCGGCTACAGCCTACACCCATTAGCCAGCTAACTTGATACTTGATAGCTGATGCACTACTTAAAATTACCAAGATGCACAACAGAAATCCTTTTGAAGGTGCAAGCCAGGAAAAAAAAAAATATAGACATCTGAAGTAGGTCTTCTGCAGGTTGATGTCTTCAAAGGTATTGGACGTATGAACTCTCAATCCTAAGACAGAAGCAAGCACTGAAATGGCGAAGGAACTTTGATTCATAACCTAATAAATGTGGAGTTACTCTGCAATTGCATCTCTCATTTCCTACAAACATATAAAGCCACTACAAGGAATTGCAAATGTAAGCAGCAGTCATGTTCATGAGGCCAACTGGGGATCTTAATCGAGAGTACCAAAACGAACCTCACCAGTACCCTTCTTAGACTGCAAAGTGGCAACCACATCCAAGCATTTCTCAATATCAGGGATCTTCGCCTGAAACCCACCATAAGGAAATAAATAAAAATCAGGAATTTCCAGCCGTGAATGAAGCAGCTCTAACCAGTTCTACCTACATAACAAGGTGCAAACACTATCGACTTGGTAAGAGTAGTAAGCTTCAATTACATATCATTTCCATAGTAGCTTCATGAATCAATTGACCATCACTATTCATAACAATAAGCATCCAACCACGACAAAGATATCAATATCAGTACCTGAAGATCCCTTTGCTGAGCAAGTAGCTTCATCTCCACAACCCTGTACTGCTGAAGCCTGCAAATGACCACGAAACAGCACTCGTTAAAATAAAAAAATTCGGAAAGAACCCTCTTCTACTTCACTAATCCCCGTCACAAAACCAGCTCAAACACCAATCAAAACCCAAGCTAGACATCGGAATTTCCCGAGCTCCGCACAGCGACGCAGCTTCGAAAGAACTAAATCGGAGTGAAGGAGAGAAATAAGGGAGGTCACCTCTCCTGAAGGAAGGAAAGGGCAGAGTTGACATCGAGTCCAGATTGGGTTAGATACGTCTCCACATCTTCCACGAACTGAGCACCTGGTATCCCCCTTCTCTCCGTCGCCGTCGCTGAGGAAGCCATTAGCGGGAAGCTTGCTGGGTCGGCGAGAGAAAAAAAAGCAGGAAGATGAGTAGGGGAAAAGAAGCTTCGCGACTCTTCTCTTTGCTTCCAGTAATCAGAAGCGCGATCAAGTTCCTAGGGTTTTAGCTTGAAAGCGCTTGGGATTTTGGGGTTCTTAGTCTCGGCTCGGCGAATCTGGAACAGTGAGGGAGAAAGGAGACTGTGTGAGAGAAGCGGAAGTGCGGAACTACTGAAAGGTGTAATCGAAGACTTTCGAGTTCGACGGACGAACGCGACACGACAAATGGTCAACCAGAGTTTTGCCTTGCTTGGGCCGTCGACGAGCTGGACACTGGTTTGGGCTTAATTTAAAGTGATTCTAATTTCCATTGGGCTTGTTATTAGTATCCATAAGATAAGACAGCAATGTGAATCAGTCCACAAGCAGGCCCAAAATTTCATTCAAATTTATAGAGAAAACAGAAAAACAAAAAAAATGAAAACAGGAATATCAAAAGGGGCGTTCCGAGAATCGAACTCGGGACCTCTCGCACCCAAAGCGAGAATCATACCACTAGACCAAACGCCCAGTTGATGATAAAGCATTGCTAACACTGTAAGTGAAAACACCAAATATAGAGTAGACCATCTCACATATTATGCACATAGAAATCCCCAATAAAGCCAGTAGTTACATCGCATATATTATACACATAGAAATCCTCAATAGAACACCATACCACATTTAGTTGATTGTACATGCTTGTAAGTTATAAGTAGGTGTGAGGGAGCAACAATCTGTCAACATCGAACAAAAATAGATGTTTTGGGCCGAATCAAATTCGAAGTATAGTTCGACTACACGTTGGCTCATTTAAAATACGTTTTCATCATGTATTGATGGGCTTTTTTGTTCATTTAATTTTAATGCAATTTGATACCAATTTAGTCCCAATATTAATCCACCCATGTTACTAGCTCCTAAGAAAAGGGTAACCCTAGGCCATATATATATATATATATATAATATAAAGGTGGTCTACAAATTATTAATCACCTCAATGTGATGAGAATTCGTCAAGCTATATGATTAGAATAGGTTTAATAGCCTAAGTAGTCGAACAAACCCCACGTTACATTAGGAGATCGAGACTGATTTATATGTAGCTATACATATAGGTTACTACTTATATAGGGAGAGGGTCGCAAAGTAGAGCACTTCTACTATGCATTTTTTATTTCTACTATACTATATAGTATTAGTGCTTTAATGTACAACTTGAAATTGTATCATAACATTAAATGTATAAGTTTAGGTTGTACCATAAAGGAATTTGTATCATTATGTTATGGTACAACTTTACAACTTGAAGTTGTACCATCACATAAGGTAGAAGTTTAAGTTGTACCATAAAATAATTTGTACAAAAAGTATAGGTACAATCTGAAGTTATACCATAACATTAATGGTATAATTTCAAGTTGTACCATAAAGGTAAAAACCTAAATCACAAGTATAGCATTGTAAAATTCATTCGCAAATTAAAGTATATTATTAGCAAGAGGTGCATGCATTTAAGTATTATCTCTGTCTCAAATTGTCCTCTCCTTTTCCCCTTAAAACAAGCTAAGCCACATTTTATTGCTGCTTTGGGACGATCCTCCCCAAGATTGAAAAGCCATTTGAACCAACCCAATTATGTAAAACAGTAGGCTTATTATAGAGCTAATCACCAAGCTAGTAGTATTACTTGTATCATTAAATTCAAACGTGTAACCTCCAGATTTGTGGTGATTTGTGGTGATCGAGTGTTGGTACTTTTTGTTATGAATATGAAAGGCGCACAAGGAGACAGACTCTTTTACCATTGTCATATACTCAGGGGCGAATCCAGAACATAAAAGAGCACTGGGCCGAGTTTCATTAGAAAATTGAATAGTAAAAAAACATAATGATTATAGTTTTTTTCCAATGTAAATTGTACACGACGGTATTTTAATTTAGTGATGCATCAATAATGGAGCCTACATCCATACCAATAGTACACACTGTTTCAAATAAAATACTTGAGCAATCGGCAAGAAATTCATCACTCATTTTGTTGAGCAAAACGGTTCTCACATATTTCATTGTTGAAAAGGTTCTCTTTGTAGTAGCTGTTGAAACGAGCAGCATTAACACTAGACAAATCAATCGACTAATCAATTGGCATTGTGTGTCAATCCCTGCATCCACCAATTGCTCTAGTAAGTTTTCAAGGGAACAAACCTCATATTTCTTTTAATCTTTTACGTTTTAAACTTTTAGAATTTTAGGTTTCATTGTTTTTTTTTATATGCATAATCTTTGGGGCTAAAATTTAAAGGCTAAATTTAGAGTATTGATTTGAATATGGTCATCTGAATCATTTTTCTAGTTATACCCAATTTTATTATAAAATCACACTAAACCAAATGCCTAAAATTGAAAAATTCATAAGGACTAATACTAACTACGGATCCAGAGGAGGGCTGGGCCGGGGCCCGGGGTGGCCACCCCTGAATCCGCCACTGCATATACTTTATTAATTACGCAGTGGTGGAACCATAAGATCGGATAAGAGGTGTTTTTATGTAGCACAATAAGTGAACATTGGCGAATTGGTCGCCTATTTGACACTGAAGTTTGTCCTTAATGTAGTTGAAAACTTAAAAATGTTCTTCTTACACTTGGAATTGCAACTGATAAAACTGTTACAAATTTCGGGGTGAAACTCACAGATCGATGATAGATTCATTGTTGTCTGTATGAAATAAGCTATACATCTTGTAGAGGATAAATTTTTTTATGTTAGCTTGTGGGTCTAGAGTCAAAATCTCATATACACCCAAACGAGAATCCATAATTTTAAAGTATCCATTGATTAGGGCTGAAAATGACCCGAGTCTGGTCGAGTTTTTGTCTAGTTTGAACTCGACTCGTTTATAAAATTTTCAGCTCGAACTCGAATTTGATAATCCAGCTTGAGCTTCTGCTCGGATTGAATAAAAATTAAATAATCTAGCTCGACCTCGACTCCCTAAGCTCGGTAAATCTCGTTAGCGCAGCTTTGTCTAGCTGAGTACAAGCTCAGCTCAAGATGAGCTCGATTTGCAATCATTCTTGCAGAAAAATGTGTAAAACATAAGAATTTAAATGATAAAAAGAACAATAGAAACTATAAATAACTGCTAACTTCCATACACATCCTTATTAACAAGATAATGTTCATGTTTAGAAGAGTAATTAATCCTTCTACAAGCTCTAACCAAGTAAGCTCACGAGTTTAGGTCAACAAGTCACCAAGTCAAGCTAGCTCACGAGCTTATTATGCTGAGCATGGTCTAGCTCAAGTTTGGCTCGTTTAATAACGAATCAGCTTGTGAGTCGACTTGTAAATAATTAACGAGTAGAGTGTCGAACAATTGTTTTCCGATTCGAACACCTAGTTGTTTGCGAGGACTTGGCTCATTTGGAAGCCTACCATTGATACACTTGGATGATTCATGTCTACCACACTTATAGAAAAACCATTGTGTGTTGAATATTAATTTCAGAGATTGTAAAATTGTATTAGAGGTTTAAGTCAGTGATAAGGTATTTTATGATTAAATCGTGGTTTATTCGTGGTTCAACCGTTCGATACTAATAAAAATATAGGGACCTTCTACCATGCCTTGAAGTTACTATAACTTTAACTTTGTGACTTGCTATAGCAAGTTTATAGGTCGCATTACGTGAATTAATGTTTATTACGTAACAATTACGTAATGCTTGTTAGTCTTACGTAACAGTTAAACTAGAAGCGTTACGGAAGGTTTCCGTAACGACTTATCCTTTTACGTAACGCTATGTTAATATTCATTACGTAAAAGCATTGTCTATTACATAAGGCTTCCGTAATGACATTTTACAATTGTTACATAAAATACACGCTCATTACATAAAGGTTACATAACGAAGGTTATTTCTTACGTAACAGTTAAATTTGAAGTGTTACGTAAGACGTCCGTAATGACTTACCACATTACGTAACTTGATTAATATTCATTACGTAAAATAATCATCCATTACGTAAGGCTTCCGCAATGACACTTTACAACTATTACATAAATTATGCATCTATTACGTAAAAGTTACGGAACGAGAGTTATTTCTTATGTAACAGTTAAATTAGAAGCGTTACTTAAGTATTCTGTAATGATTTAACAGATTGCGTAACGAAAGGTTAATATCCATTACGTAAAATGAGTGTCTATTACGTAAGGTTTCCGTAATGATATTTTTCAACTATTACGTAAGAAAAACACACATTACGAACCTCTATGTAATGCCTATTTGTTTTACATAACGCGACTTGTGAAACCTGTTATAGCATGTCAAAAGCATCAAGTTACAATAACTTCAAGGTATTGTGAGAATTTCCAAAAATATATATCGTCTTGGGTTCAAGTAGATGGTTTTCCTGATTGGAATGCCGATATGGTATGGTTTTGCAAACACTAACATTTAACCAAACTAAGATGTAACTATGAATTGGTATTTCACTTATCACATCGCTACTGATCAGGCATACTAGATTTTGTATGCTGTTTCAAGAAGGCACACCCGGTGATGTTGCTTAGCTAGCTGTCTAGGGTTGCACCCATAATTCCACTAACACTATATTTCCGAAGGAAGAGAGGAAAAGGAGGGGAGGTTAGGAAAATTTAGAGGGGAGGGTGAGTTTGGAGGGGAGGGAAATTAGAGGGAATTTGAAAGAAAATGTTGTTTTATGGAGGAAAATGGGAGATAAAAAGTAGATTGAGAATTGTGATATGTATTATATTTTATTGTTGATAAAATAGTTAAATAATTTAATTATACTAGTGGAGAAGGAAGAAGATAGTGGAGAGAAGAGAGGATAGAGGAGAGAGGACAAATAAAAAAAAGGAATTAATGGGTCTCTCCAAATTGGGGGGTTAGGTTGAACAGTAACCCTTTCCCCCATTTCCTTCCCTTTGTCACTGTTCCGAATTTAGAAAACAGGGTTATGTGTCTTGAAATTAGAGCTTTTCACCTATTTCCTATCCTCCCCTTCCTTTCCTTCCTATATGAACAGAGTGTAAGAGAATCCGACATGCAGTTGAGAACACAGGCATTTCCCATACACTCTGTTTTTTTAGGATGGAAAGTGGGAGGGAAAGAAAAGTGGAAGGGAAAGCACAGGAACCAAGATGTGTTCCCTTGTTTTTTAAGCTTTACAACAGTAACCGAGGAAAGAAAATATAAGGAAAGTGTACTGTAGGAGGCTACCCTCCATTTCGGAGAGAAAGTTGGGTGGGAACTCGGGTTTTCATTTTTTCTTTCTCAAAATTTCTTTTTGTTTTACCTTCCCAAATTCAGTGGCGTGGCTTCTCCACAATTCTCTCAAGTGGCATTTCTTTTTTGGTAAGGGGTTTATGATGGGTTTTTAAAATTAAGAATATGAATATATTAATTAGTGAGATAATTAGTAAGCCAATGAGTTTATTTAGTGAGATAAACGAGTTAACATGTTTTTGAGAATCATAGTTAGTAAATACTGTTTTTAATACACGTATATGTATCAGTACATATTTCGTTTAAAACTTTCATATTCGTATTATTGTCAAGCAATTTTATTTTTTCCGTTTATTTGATGGCTCCCGTACGTATTTTATCCGTTTATGATTTTCATAATTAATTTGATATATTTATGACTATTACCGTAATATCTAACGTAACATTAAGTTAAAGATGAAGTAAAATACATGTACGTATTTTATGAGAAAATTTTATGGGAGTTAAAATGAATGAGATGCTAAATCAAGAAAATTTATAGTGAACCAAATTAGAAATAAAGAATAAATTTGATTCACTATTATTATTAATGAAAATAATATCAACAAATAATTAAATTATTTACCAAAAATAACATAATTATCATACTTTCCAATATATTTTTTCTCTCCCACTTGACCCTTCACTTTCTTCTATAAAACAACATTTTCCTTCTACTTTAAACTTTCTCTCCCTTCCTTTTCCCTCCCCTTCAAATGTTCCTTCCCCTTCATTTTCCTCTCTTCCTTCGTAAACAGAGTGATAAAGTCCATGCATGCTGCTTAGCTAGTTGGTGACTTGGCTAGTGTGCCTTGTCTTTCTGAAAGGATAGTTACTGTGCTGTTAGGGTTTGGGGTTATAAAATGACAGCATGAAGTGAACAATTTGACAGCAGCTAATCAGTCTGCATGTTAGAGAGACACATCCATTGATGGGTAGTAGGTGTATGGATCTCATACATTATGCTCTCAGTGTCCTCTCACTCACTCACTTTATTACAGCAGCTTAGTTAAATCAACACCAAAATCCACAACGAATAAAGCAAACTTACCATCAACAATTTTCGCTAATTTTTCAAAAAAAAAAAAACAATTTTCGCTAAGAAAACATCCAACAAGAATTATAGTGAGGAATGAATCTGTCTTTAAATGGATTACATGATCTTAATTTGTTACTTGTTCTACAAGAAAAATAGTATACGTAAACAATTTCCACAACAATCTTAAAGAATCTTATTCCTCTCTAGTATCCAAGGTTATGAAATAATTCCTCTCAAGATAGAAAGTACGTACCTTTTCCGGCGTAGCAATACCTCAAATCCCGGAAACCATCAAACGCGGCGAACCGGTGAGAACCACACTTGACTCGATTTTCTCTTTGAAAAGAATGCAGAAAACTAGTTTTGGATTTTACAGAGTTTTGGTACCGGAAAAAAATGTATATCTCGTAGTAAAAACTAGAGGGGGCATGGTGCTATTTATAGAAAATGAAAGGGTGCGCACGAAGGGAGGCGACTCTTCACCAACACATTGGTCCATTTTAAAATAATGAACCATTGCATCGGTTCGGTCCATGGTAGTTGGACCAGTTTGGTTATTCTAACAGCCATATCGGTTCGGTTCGATTTGGTTCAACTCGGTTTGATCATGTTGGTTACACAAACCAATATTACCGATTACCAACATATTACATCAAATCGACCGAATTCGCGACCACGCCTTCCCACATCGTACAACATGATACTTCAAGAGATTCTCTTGGATCTTTCCCCTTTCATATCCATTTACACCATTAAGAATCTCAACAATCGACATTCTTTCTTAATTTATGTTGGCATCTGGTTTTTCATTTAGAGATCTCAATCCCGAGATTAGCCAGTAAATGCCTTGTATTTTATCTCGCCATTCGTTTAGGTGCATGACGAAGTTCTGTCGCTGTTCTAAATGAGCTAATTTTCGAGCTTTAGTGTACCTAGGGGTGTCAGTTCGGGTCGGGTTCGGTTACCTAAACTGAAACCCGAAAACCCGAAACCAAAAATCACTAAAACCGAACCCGATAAGGACTTGCGGGTTCTGGGTACGCGAAACCCGAAAATTCCTTATCGGGTTTGGGTTCGGTTAAAGCAAAACCGAAACCCGAAAACCCGAACGCCTAAAAATACGGGATGAGTTCTATTCATTGGAGGTTTTTAGCCGGAACCCAAAAAACCGATAAGCAAAACCGAACCCGAAACCGAAAAACCCGAAACCCGAAACGAACCCGAACCCGAAAAACCGAAAATGTATATAATTGGGTTGGTTTTGGGTAAGCCCAAAAACCGAACCCGAATTGACACCCCTAAGTGTACCTTGGATTCGAGATATTTGAGTTGGAAAATATCATACATTTGTCCTCAAAATGCTCTAACACACACCGGATACAGAATGAACTATCTTACGACGTTCTTAACCCAACTCACGTACCACTTTAAATGGCGAACATCCGGATCATGGAATCTCATACTCTCAACAAAAGTCATTGATTTTCAAAGCCATACACGAAAGGCAACCCCATTGCCATATAAACAGATCTGAAGAAATCTCCACTAGCCAAGTGAATGATATGAGAGTTTTTGTCATATTAATCAGTCTACTCCATAGCAGATCGAGATTCCAATCCTTCTGCTTCCACTACCATCGATCCACCTTTGGACTCTCATGATATATATCAGGCTCCTCCAATGGAATCCCTCTGAAATGGCCACCCAATAACAAGCTGATTCCCCCTTTGGTCGCTTAAATCTCTAATGCTGTTGGTTTGTGCTTTCATATTTCATCCCATTAAAATGAAATGGCTACCAACTTGGCAAAAATGGAAGTGGGTGGAGATTGACATGCCGATGGATTGGGCCCTTGAGCTATACTATGGTGTCTAATCACAAGTGTGATTTACACAACTAATTATATATTGATACCCAATTCTTTTTCTTAGCACTTGAGTTGTATGTCAGTGTCACTATCTTGGCTCATTACTGAGTTAGAGCATTGATCGGCAAGGGGATAGAGGTATTATAAGTCGAAAATAAAGAAAGCTCGTAATCTGAATTTTAAAAAAGAAGATTAGGCACACACATACATGTGTCCATTATAACACTTTAATGCTTAACAATTTAATGTACCAGATCTTAATCTTAGAGAAGGAAGTGAATCATAGAGACAAGAGATTATGCAATATACAGTGACAAATTCCCACGACATGTATATAGCTTCATTTTGAGTAAATGAACATTTAATGTGCATAGCTCGATCTTGTGTTAGATGCTGATAATTCTTTTTTTTTTTTTTTTGGCAAAGTGCTGATAATTCGTTTACAAGCGTGTTGTTTAGTCATTCAAATGACGAGAAATTTTACAATGCTATATAGTATTGGTGCTATAGGTTTTTGTCTTTATGGTACAACTTAGAATTGTACATTTACGTTATGGTACAACTTTAGATTGTACCTATACTTTTTGTGCAAATTCTTTTACGGTACAATTTGAACTTGTACCTTTATGTGATGGTACAACTTCAAGTTGTAAAGTTGTACCGTAACATAGTGATACAAATTGCTTTATGGTACAACCTAAACTTATACATTTAATGTTATGGTACAACTTTGAGTTGTACATTAAAGCATCAATACTATATAGCATAGTAGAAGTGCTCTCAAATGACATATAGTTTGATTTTATGATGGGGTTGCAATTTCATGATAGCAGTCGACAAAAATATGATCAATATTTAATACTCTCCTCTCCCTTCTTGCACAGCTAGCATATGCTTGCAGAAGCTACTAAATAAAGGGGAAGCCATTCCGGAAAGTTTTTCTTCTCTTTCAGATCCTGGGTGCTTATTATATGCTACGTCTAGATCCTGGTTTAGCTAGCCGCTTCTCAAGTACGGATGGGACGTCCAACTCGAGTTCCTCTATAAAAAAGAAGAGTCAATTTAAGGCTAAACACGAATAGGCTGCGGTGGTACGGAAGACCTTTTCTAAACCCAATCAATCGGTGCCCGTTCACCATAAGAAGTAGCCGGATGTCAGCTTCTACGGCATAAGCTTTAAAGAAAAGAGCTATCAACGCAATAAAAAATTGAATAAGAAAAAAGAATTTGTTTGGAATCTCAATCGAAAAGGTATAGGTTCAATTTTGAACAGTCATTGAAATCTTTTTCTTCCAATTCTAGGTACTTCACTTTATCGATCAGGTTGAGAACGTGTGGAGGGAAGAACCAGCACGGCCGGGGATTTGCTGCATTCCTAATAACTTCGAGAATGAATGAATTTGTTTTGTCGAAAGCTGCGCCCGCACACTCGATGCTTTTCTCCTGGAGATGAAGGCCCGTACTCCCTGTGCCGAGGAGAGGAGTCCCAGGAGCGTAACGTAAGGATCTAATTGATTGCTCTTTTTTTCGATTGAGCTTTGATACATTTAGTGTATCTCTCAATTGGTGCGCTGCAACTGAGTCACTGCTCTTCAGGGCGCTTAGGTGGACAATTCCTAAACCCAGTTTCTGGGAAGACAACTATAGGAAAAAGACTGACGTCCCCCTAACCCCCCCCCCTCTTCTTCTAGCCTTCATTCAAACTTGTGTTCCCCGGGCGCTATGAGATGTGGGTCTTTCCTTCACTTATCGTATGTATCAGCTCTGAATTGAGCCCAAGACCACTCACCTGATTCGATGGTTAAGCTCACCACTGTTTGATGCCATTGTTCTTGCGATAATTCACCCTGGACATGATCTATTAATTTAACACCGCTATCCAACCAACGATGAAACCTTTGATTCACCCTATCCTATACCAAGTGGCTCAGCTAGCTCGGGACCCACCTTGGCTCGAGATTAAGACACGAAAATAACAATATTTGTATAATACCTATAATATTCAAATCAAACACCTCATGTTTAGTAGTTTTACTAGTCTACTAACATATTATAGAGAACTTTGTACCACATATTAACCTTCCACATTATATAAATAACTCTACATTTTACATAGTTACGCATCACTAGTGGTTTATTCTAAATTTTCTAATGTATAATTTAGTGTGGAATTCTCCACCCTCAAACGAAAATCAGTCGACAACTATAAAAACACGTCATGGATATTTCCACCTGTGATGGTTTGGAACCACACGAGGGTTGCTAGAATATTAAGAACCTGATCATAGGAAGCATCATAGAAAATCAATGTGTCAACAACAAATACTAAGTGAGTGTCCTTCGCTTGATTATGGTCATCATCAATATAGAAACTTGTAATTCCACCATCTTCTTGAGCTTTGTAAGCATGTATGAGAGAATATCCATAACCAATATCTGGCGAGACTTCCTCCACCTTTCGTTGTCGCCTCCCCCTCCCTCAATCTCTCCATACCGTTGCTCTCCACCGCCCCACTCCCTATGCCTCCAAGTCGCCTCCCTCTCCCTGTCGCCACCATCTGCCTCCCACTCTCCTCCCACTCTACCCCCCTCTGTAGCCTCCAACTGCCGCCTCCCCCTCCCTTCGTCTCTCCTTGTCGCCACCATTTGCCTCTACCTCAACCCGAATATCACACTTAAATCCCACCTAAGGCCCAAGTATAAACCTTAAATGGGTGCAATATAGGGCAAGTATGTTTAAATATCGATCCGAGCCGGCCCATGTACCCCTACTTCGACTGCTTGAAACATTATCTAGCCGAATGATGTTGTGAAAATCTCTACGATCTACGATTAAAAAGAAAGACTTGAAAAGTAAAAGGATTGAAAATCTTGGTGAGAATTAATGATTTTTAGGCTGACGAGGCAATGACATGGCGTGTTGACTAACGGTCAATGGTGTTGACCATCCAAATTGACGGTCAAAGTCTGTGTCGAGCCAATTGAGTCTATATGCTACATAGTTGAGGCCATGATTTTAATTTATGAAACTACGGGCCATAGTTGATTATATGGTCATAGTTCAGGTCAAAATAAGGTATTAACCCTTGTTTCACCGTTGTAGCGAGTCGATGAAAATGAGATCCGAGTATCGAGTTAAGAGGGTGACTTGGAATGGATCTGGAACACTATAATGGAGACTAGCGGCAGGGTAGTGGGAGACTTGGCCGTCGTCGTTCAGATTGATGCGGTGGCGTCCGTGAGAAGCAGGCGGCAAAGCAAGTGGGAAGTGTGAGTTTAGGGATTTGGGAATGTAAGGTAGAAGGAGAAGGAAAAAGGGAGGTATTTAAGAAATGAAACAAATAAAGCAAATAAACAAAAAAAAAACAATTAAATATTTTGTGACGGGAACATCGTCGCCAATAGTCTTAAACTTTTATGCGACGATGACATCGTCGCAAATTATTTAAGATACTCTGCAACGACAAATACTAAGTGAGTGTCCTTCGCTTGATTATGGTCATCATCAATATAGAAACTTGTAATTCCACCATCTTCTTGAGCTTTGTAAGCATGTATGAGAGAATATCCATAACCAATATCTGGCGAGACTTCCTCCACCTTTCGTTGTCGCCTCCCCCTCCCTCAATCTCTCCATACCGTTGCTCTCCACCGCCCCACTCCCTATGCCTCCAAGTCGCCTCCCTCTCCCTGTCGCCACCATCTGCCTCCCACTCTCCTCCCACTCTACCCCCCTCTGTAGCCTCCAACTGCCGCCTCCCCCTCCCTTCGTCTCTCCTTGTCGCCACCATTTGCCTCTACCTCAACCCGAATATCACACTTAAATCCCACCTAAGGCCCAAGTATAAACCTTAAATGGGTGCAATATAGGGCAAGTATGTTTAAATATCGATCCGAGCCGGCCCATGTACCCCTACTTCGACTGCTTGAAACATTATCTAGCCGAATGATGTTGTGAAAATCTCTACGATCTACGATTAAAAAGAAAGACTTGAAAAGTAAAAGGATTGAAAATCTTGGTGAGAATTAATGATTTTTAGGCTGACGAGGCAATGACATGGCGTGTTGACTAACGGTCAATGGTGTTGACCATCCAAATTGACGGTCAAAGTCTGTGTCGAGCCAATTGAGTCTATATGCTACATAGTTGAGGCCATGATTTTAATTTATGAAACTACGGGCCATAGTTGATTATATGGTCATAGTTCAGGTCAAAATAAGGTATTAACCCTTGTTTCACCGTTGTAGCGAGTCGATGAAAATGAGATCCGAGTATCGAGTTAAGAGGGTGACTTGGAATGGATCTGGAACACTATAATGGAGACTAGCGGCAGGGTAGTGGGAGACTTGGCCGTCGTCGTTCAGATTGATGCGGTGGCGTCCGTGAGAAGCAGGCGGCAAAGCAAGTGGGAAGTGTGAGTTTAGGGATTTGGGAATGTAAGGTAGAAGGAGAAGGAAAAAGGGAGGTATTTAAGAAATGAAACAAATAAAGCAAATAAACAAAAAAAAACAATTAAATATTTTATGACGGGAACATCGTCGCCAATAGTCTTAAACTTTTATGCGACGATGACATCGTCGCAAATTATTTAAGATACTCTGCAACAAACTTTTTCGTCACCTAAAACCTGATTTCTCGTCGCAAAATCCATTTGGCTACTTGGTTCTCGTTTGACCAAACATTGATGCTATCTGCGATGGAGAACTGAAATTCATCGCTGAAACCTATCTTTTGGCGACGAAATTTGCTTTGTCGCCACAAAATCCGTCGCTAAATGTGCAGTTTTTTGTAGTGATAATTTTTGGGTAAATTTAGAGTGCAAAACGTCTCAAAGTTCTGTTACTCATCTAGAGTAAAACGGGAGCAACAATCTCCAAAAAGTTGTACATGATGTAGTAGACAAAAACAAAAAAAATGAGATGGTCTCAACGATAATTAGCTTCTATTTAAGTGTTTGAGGGTTCCAGAGATAAAGTTACAAGTGTTGAAGCCAGGGAAGAACTTTGTTCATTGCTTGGTGGAGGACCTAAATAAAGATAGCTTTTTCTGGACTGCGGTTTATGCTTCCAATGAAGAGGCTGAGCGTATAACTACTTACAAAGAGTTAGCCAAACTAAAGGTTGTTGGACACCCAGGGATTGTAGGTGGAGACTTTAACACAGTGCGTGTACCAGAGGAGACTCCAAATCAGATAAGTTCTAATACTAGTATGGATGATTTTAATGGTTGGATTGGGGAGATGGAACTTCTTGATTACAGGACCACTGGTCCTCAATTCACATGGACCAATAGACAGGTTAATCGTCCAATTGCTCGGAAACTTGACAGAGCCTTGGTAAATTTGGACTGGATTGAAAAGTTGAAAGACTAAGTTATGGAAGTGTTACCTGCTCATTTCTCGGATCATTGTGGGGTGTAAGTAAGTACCACAGCTCCGCTTAAATCCATGCCTAAACCCTTTAAATATTTTGAATTCTAGGCTGAGCACCCGTTGTTTCTGGAGATTGTTGATAATGCTTGGAAGGTAGAGGTTTCTGGGAATCCACTGTAGATAATTTAGGGGAAACTGAGGGAAGTTAAAAAGGCATTAAAAAGGTTCAACAGGGAGGTATATGGGAATCTTCAAGACCAAGTAAAAGAGGCGGATGCTGTACTGCACAAGGCACACATTGTGGCCTTTTCCAACCCTACACCAGAACATTTTGAGGTTGTTACACAGGCTACAAAGTAGTATGAGCAAATATCCAAGGCCTATGAGAGCTTTTGTTGGCAAAAATCTAGAATATCCTGGTTAACTATGGGGGATAAGAGCTCCAATTTCTTCCATCAAGCTATAAAGATACGCAATTCAAAAAGGGCCATCAGGAAGCTTGTAAAAGATATAGGGGAGGAAATATATCAGATAGATCAGATTGTTGAGGAAGTGATTGGATTCTATAAGAATCTGTTGGGAGAGGTTAATGTTGATATCAATCCAAGTGAAGAGGAGGTGAAGAGGCTTGTTCAAAGACAAATCCCTCAGGAAGAATGTGAGGCACTGATTCAGGACATTACTGGTGAAGAAATAAGGGCAGTGGTGTTTAGCATGAAAGCATAGAAGGCCCCAGGGCCAGATGGGTTTTCTGCAGGGTTTTTTAAGAGGGCTTGGGGAATCATTGGTGAGGATGTAATCAGGGGGATCCTATTTTTCTTCAACTTAGGTATCCTCCCTAGTGAGGTTAACTCTACTGCTGTTTCTTTGCTTCCAAAAATCCCTAATGCTGATACCTTAAAGAACTTTAGGCCTATTTCATGTATAAACCTTTTATACAAAATCATTGCTAAGGTCCTGGCAAATAGAATTAAGGGGATAATGCCTTTGATAATTAGTAGTTCCCAGTCTGCTTTTATTAAGGGGAGGAGTATCATGGATAATATACTGATGGCTCAGGAACTGGTGAGTGGGTATAATAGGCGATTACTTTCATCTCAATGTGCAATTAAAGTTTATATAATGAAGGCATTTGACTCTGTGAGTTGGAGATACCTATTTTTCATGATGTATGCCATGGGATTCCCTGTTACAATTTTAAAGTGGATTAAAAGTTGTTTGCAAACTGCCCACTACAGCATCAATGTGAATGGAAGCCTTTGTGGGTTCTTCAGATCCAGGAAAGGTGTGTGTCAGGGTGATCCATTGTCACCTTACCTTTTTACCATTGCGATGGAGGGGTTGTCTACAATGTTAACTGAGGCAGGCCAATCAGGGGTTCTCCCATTCCATCTAAAGTGTAAGAGAGTAGCACTGAACCACTTATGCTTTGCTGACGATTTGCTTATATTCACTAGGGGGTCTGCTCAGGCAATAATGCAGGCTAAAGGGATTCTCCAGCGTTTCTATCATATCTCAGGGCTTAACAGCAATCCTGCCAAGTGTGAAATCTATTTTGGTGGGGATTCAATTCTCTACAAGCACAATGCTTTGGCTCTTACAGGGTTTCAGGAAGGGAATCTGCCAGTCCATTACCGGGGTTTGCCATTGCTGTCTGGCAAATTATCTTCAGTGGAAATTGATAGTCTGGTTGAAAAAATTAAAAAAAGGATCAGGTCTTGGCGGTCCAAGAAGCTCTCATATGTAGGAAGATTGCAACTGCTTAACTCTGTAATCCTGGGGGCGGTGCAATTCTGGATGTAGATGTTCATTCTGTCAAAGCAAGCTCTCAAGATAATACCAAAAGTTTGTTCTTAGTTTCTCTGGCATGGACTGGAAGAAGGAAAGGCAAAAGTGGGGTGGGAGCAGGTAACCCTCCCTAAGCGAGAAGGGGGACTAGGGATCAAAGATTTGGTTGCTTGGAATCAGGCTTGCACTATAAGAATGCTCTGGTTGTTTTTGATGAATTCAGGGGGTGTTATGGGTGGCCTGGATGAAGGAATATAAATGTAGGCAATGTGATCTGTGGTCATTAAGAGTGCAGTATAGTAGCTCATGGGCTTGGAGAAGACTTCTCATGCTTAGGACTGTGGTTCTCCCCTGGATACATATGCATAATGATATAGTCTATTGGGATTCAAAAGATATGGATACTTACTCAATCCGTTGAGACTGGGAAACTTTGAGGAGCAGGGCTCCTAAAGTCGTGTGGTACGAGCTGGTATGGAATAGTAGCTGCCCTCCTCGTTACAACATGCTTGCTTGGTTAATAATGAAGAACGCAATAGTCACAAGGGATAAACTACAAAAATGGGGGAAGATCAGGACAGCTGAATGTCCGCTCTGTGGCCAAGGAGTGGAGAGCAGAGATCATCTCTTCACTCAGTGCACTTTTGCAAGGGATCTTGCTGCTAAGATAAGGTGTAATCTGTTGTTGCATCAAGATTGGGATACTATGATACACTCTCTGACTTCTGTAGTATGAGCAAGAACAGGGGAATGGCAAGCTCTTGTTTGGTGTCTCTTAGTGGCGTTTATTTGGAAGGAAAGGTGCGGGGTAGTCCATGGCGCTTCAAGGCGCACACCAAGGCAAGTTGCAGGTCTAATCAAGCAGGACATAACGTTCCTTACTTATGGGAATAGAGGGATCCGAGATACTTTAGTTGGGTTGGGATACTTATAGTTTTCTGCTTTTGCTGTTTGTTCCTTTGTCGTAGTACAGATTGCAGATAGGTTGTGAGGTGTTTTTTCCGTTGGAGACTTTGGGATGATTATCCCGCTTTTGTTGTATTGGTTTCTTGCATAAATAAAGCGACTGATTCAATGGAAAAAAAATATTTCGTTGCTAAAAATTATCGACAAATTACTTCAGCGACGAAATCACCATCTGCGACGCAATTGTCCGTCGCCAAACAAACTTTTTGCAACGACATTCTTCCGTCGCAACAAACTGCGACGACTATTCTCGTTGCGGAAAGATGTTATTGGTGACGAAGTGTTTCGTCGCCGCCTTCTGCGACGAACGTGTACTTTTGGCGACGACAACATATTTTTCGTCGCTGATCCTTTAGGCGACGCGGTATAGGCGACAGAGGATTGATTCCTTCCGCGATGATATTTTCATCGCCAAAGATATTTTGCGACGAATTTTGTGGTTTTTGCGACGAAAGCTTCTGTTACTAAAAACCTTGTTTCTTGTAGTGTATTATTATTTACTCGTAAAGATGAATGAATGAGCGAAAAAACCAATAAATGAATCTGTGAAGATCGAATCAGATTCCTTAATTTACAACAATGCCTTGATATTATAGTTAGGCTTACATAAACGTTCATGTAAGGCTAACTATTTTCTGAGGGGAAAATAGTTAGCCTAACATCAACGATTAGGTAAAAGGGAAGTTAACTCTGTCTATCAAACCGCTCTTTGTTGGATTATCAGGGGACATGTAACATGCGCCCCCTATCATTGACATCTTTAATTCGTGCTTTCTTTTTCCCACAAGAATAATTATCCAAATGCCCATAGTTGTAATTCTAATTTCTACACACGAAATTCCTCCGAGTAATTAAGCGTCCTAGGGTTTTTGGGATTTTGGAGTGGGCTTCAAGGCATAATCATAATCATTGGAAGAGTAATAGTCTCCTATAAAGTTATAACTAGGGCGGTTTCCCTTCAACACGGCATAACTTCTTAGCTCAATCGTGACCACATCATATGCATTTATACATGTGACACATTCCTCCCATTGTCCTAATTTGATAGTTTTGTCATACAAGAGAATTCACATACTTTAGGATTTGTATATTCCTCACAATGTCCTAACATTAACAGTAATAATCCTAATAATAATAAATAGGATAGATAACCAGTTTCCTTTAGAAATTGTGTTTCTATCACCAAGACACATTTGCACCTATTGTCAAGATGATCACAATCAAAATGTTTTTAGCTGTTCCAACACCTAAAAGTTGGCATGTTCAACACTTGGATGTGAAAAATGCTTTCTTCCATGAGGATCTGGATCAAGAGGTTTAAACTACCACTTAGATACACACCACTTTCGGGAATCAAAACCCTTGTTTGCCATCTGAAGAAATTACTTTATAGTCTCAAACAGGCTTTAAGACAATGGTTTTCTAAACTATTAGACAAACTCAATTCCCAAGGATACAAATCCAGCAAGCTGGATCACTCATTATATTACAAAATTCAGGGAAGTTCATATGCATGTATTATGGTTTATGTTGATTACTTAGTTGTTGGTGACAATGAGTTCAACACCAAAGATCCAGGAAACTTAAAAATTCTTCTTGTGTATTGAAGTTGCAAGAACAAATCAAGGGATTCATATATCCCAGATAAAATACACATTGGAGATCATTGAAGAGGCAAACCTCTTACATTCTAAACCTTTATCTACTCCTATGGACTACAAGACACATCTTTCTGCTTCACATGATGATCCTTACCCGGATCCAAATACGTACAGGAGAATCATTGGTAAGGGTATATACCTAACTACAACAAGACCTTACTTAAGTTTTGCAACTCAACAAGTAAGGCAATACATAACTAATCCTAGCCTACCCAACTACAAAGGTGTACATTGCAATCTCAGATACATGAAGACATCACCTTCCAATGACCTCTTCTTCTCTTCAAGCTCATCCCTTTAACTGAAAGCTTTCAAAAACTCCGACTTAGATTTCTGTATTGACACACGTCGATTAATCACTGGATATTGTGCTTACATGAGTGACTCCCTCATTTCTTGGAAGAGTAAAAAGCGAACAATAGCCTCTCGTTCTTCCTCTGTATTAGAGTATCAAGAATTGGCTTACACAAACTGTGAAGTTCAATGGCTCTTGTACCTTCTAAAAGATCTTCAAATCAATCATCAGCAACCTGCAACACTCTACTGCGATAATCAATCGGCCATCTATGCTGAGAATCGAACTTTCCACAAGCAGGCCAAACACATTGAGCTCGATTGTCATTTCGTCCAAGAAAAAGGTCAATCACATACCATTAAGGTTCTTCATGTATCCACATCTCACCAGCTCACTAACATCTTCACCAAGCCGCTACCTCTAGTGACCTTTTCCCATCTTCTCTCCAAGCTTGGTATGATGAATCTCTACCCACTAGCTTGTCGAGGAGGGTATCAGGGAAAAATAGTAGTTTGTTGCGGCTTCCAAATTTCGAACCCAGACTGGCAGAGGAGGTTACGTTATAGCTGGAACGACAAGTTGTCAAAGCTGGATCGATGTTATTTCTGGAAGATGACAATAGTTGGATCATGGAAAGCATTTGGATGCTAGAGTTTAGTTTTAAAAATGCAATTTGAACTCTTCATCTGTTAGTGTTTTAGCTCATTTCTATTTTTTTTAGCTTCTTATGGTAGTAAATAGCCTTTGCCTATGACCCTAATATCTCTGTTGTAACCCTTGAATTTGTGCTTCTTTGTTATCAATTAATAAATACTAGGCATGCCGCCCGCGTTCCACTATGGGATTGAGATGAAATTTTAAACCTTTTTTGTTATTATTAAAGTGCTCACAAAGATTAGGGTCAGTAATAAAATGATCCCAAACGTTTAAAATGTAACAAAAAGGTTGAATAAGTGTCAAGATATAACAAAACAACTATATAATGTCTTTTAATCCATATTTTCATCCAAAATGGCCTAGATTTCTATGACCATATTGCTTTTTGGTTTATGCAACCTCAGCGCATTCAACTTTGCAATGATCAACTGTGCCATCCTCCTATAGAAATTCCTTTTTCATAAGGGGCCACTCCTTTTCTTTCATTTTCACTTCTCCATGAGACCAAAAGGGAAAGGAGTTGCTTCCAAGGTCTGCCTTCCTTGATTGAGCCCTCAAACTGGCACCGGTGGTTGCATATATTTTTGAGAGCTTGTTCAGGTGGGCTGTTTAGATCACAGTATAGCACCTTGCCCAATGTGTGCAGCATCGCGGCAGAGTGTGCAGCATTGCTGCACAAGGGAAAGCGATGCTGCCAAAAGGATGACGTCCCTTTGCCAGTCAGGATGAAAAAAAGAAAGCCAAAAGCGGAATGAAGTTTTAGTCCCAAAGCTGAATTATCGGGGAATTCTATAGCGAAAGAAAAAACCTAGATGGGGTGATCACGAAATGCCTGGCGGAGAAACTGAAGCCACTAATGCCTGATCTAAGTGAGCGAAACCCAGACCTGTTTCGTCCCCCACAGCGGAAAACGTTGCCTTCGCCGCTTTGAAAGAAAGATTGAAAGAAAAGAGATGATTTGAAAACAATCGAAGGTGGGGACTCATCAAAGAATTTCGTTGCCTCTCCGCCTTCTAAAGATTTTTGAGGAAAGAAATGAGATAGAGTGCTTTCTTCTTCCTCTCCTTTAGCTTGCTTAGGATAAGAGTGAATTTTACAGGTTAGTAAGGTGTATTGTATCATCATATCACGATGTCGTGAATCGTGATATGATGATATAACCGGATTTTGCAGACCGGAGTTTTGTAATCTATTCGCTCGCTTAAAATTATATAGAATTCCAAAAATCACGGGTTGGGCTTCAAAATGTATGTGACACATACGCTTTTCTAAAAGCTTCGCATTGTAAAACCAGCCCCATGGGGTAAATTAGAGGATTGTGTGGGCCACTATCAGCACTTGCTTAGTGTCTGATTATACACATGCATATGTAGTTTATTTAAAAATTATCATTACTTTTCTTAGCATATTTGATATTTATCAAGCATATATAATATTTTCATGAAATTGTATTTTCTCGCTAATTTTCTTCATTTTAATAATTTATTGTTGTCATTTGTTACTTGTATAATGTCAGTATATGGAGAGTTATTAACATGTTGGTTGAAGTTATAAGGAAAATTATCTATGGATACCCGTGGATACCCGAAACCCGATCATGCATGTGTATGGTTTGATATTCTATCCGATGCTTATATGGGTATGGATATGTGTAGAACCCAAACTATTTGGGGTTGGGAAATATATATTCATTATTTGACTCTAACTCGTTACTACCTCTACCCATAGTGCATTTTAATGATAAAATTAGTATACATAAAGCGAAGATTTTATAAAATAAAATATATAGAAAGAGCCAACAACAAAAGGAAACACATTACTTCAATATCACAACTCAATAAAACCCCCTTTTAATTTGACATTGACATTATTATTATTATATGATGGTAATAAATGTAAAACTAAAAAAATAAGTGATGTTTTAGTGTATTCAAATTTATATATATTAATTAATTAATTAACGATGACACCATTATAAAAAATTTTTGTTTTGTTTTCTATTTTCGGATTGTACTTTCTTTCTTTTCCAAATTTGTCTTCTTTCCTTGAACTTTAACCCGCAACATCAACTATATCAGCCGACTTGATGTAATGAGAAGAAGTTAAGACTTCTAGGGTGTTCACATCAAACCTTACGTTATTTACATTAATTATCTAATTACTTGTTTTTGTTGTTATAATATATTAAGGATATAATAATTGGGTAATTCACTGGCCATGATCCGGTGATTGATAATCACCAATAGACTGATGTGGTAGAGACAAGAGAGATTGTTGATGATCTTTACTTTTACGATGTTGGTTTCCTTTTGTTTGAACTGAAGATCCATCCATTTGTAATATTGGTAGATAGGAAGCAATATTGCATTCCATCAAAGAATGATAATTTGATATTGATTTCACTAGATCTGCAGGTGGATGCGAGTTAATTACTTATAATTGTGTGGTGCTCCGTGGTAGAATTGAAAGGATTTGTAACTGTTGTACGAATTATGTCAAGGACCGGCCGTTTTTTGAGATATTATACTACACAATTACTGTTCGCTAAGAATTCTACTTTCATGCATAACTGTTACTTTTCCTTTTAACAGACCAATTCTTTATGAACGCGTGGCAATGAGGTGAGAAAAGGTTTTCATGCGATTTTGATATTTTTTGTGTGTGGAAGATGGCAATGGAATTTTGTTTCTCTAATGTGTTTTGTTCTCTCCTTCTTTGTTGTTAGAATTGTGGTTTAATTTAATCCACCTAAAAAGATTTTGGAGAGCTTTTCATGGCTCTTCTTGCCATATTGCTAAATGTTAAGGGTCAGTGATGTGGTTTCTTACATTCGAAGTAAGGTTGTAAACCTGATTTAGCCCGTTGGTCCGGTCAATCAAATTTATCGAGGGTTAATTGTTCAATTACTTTGACCTGGATATACGAAAAAGTCATTACGTGTTCATAAATTTATAAATTATATCAAAACCCATTTAACGTATAGATAATAACATATAACTATACACCAAAATAATCATTTGTACTTGAATTCAATATATAGTAAAATTTCAAACTCACCTATACAATATTAGTATTCAAATGTTCAAGTTGGAATTTCAAAGATAGATTTAGGTGAAAGGGAATACCGCAAAAGGAGACAAATTTCGCAAATCAAAGAGAAAAACGACGTCGTGTGACCTCCAACTCGAAAACTTTGCGGCGGGTCAATCGCAAGTGTGTGACACATGTTTACCTCACCACTCTAGGTCGACCCGCGAGTTGACAACCTTAATCTGAAGACAATAAATGACTTTTTCGATTGCCTTAATCAATAGACGGAGAGTAGGGATGAGCAAA